GTGTGTGCGTGCGTGGCTGGATGGGTCGGGTGTCTCTGTGTGTGTGTGTGTGCGTGTGTGTCGGCGTCCGTGTCTGTGTCTGTGTGTGTCTGTGTGTGTCTGTGTGTGTCTGTGTGTGTCTGTGTGTGTCTGTGTGGGAGTGGGTGTGGGTGTGGGTGTGGGTGTGGGTGTGGGTATGGGTGTGGGTTTGGGTGTGGGTGTGGGTGTGGGTGTGGGTGTGGGTGTGGGTGTGGGTGTGGGTGTGTGTGTGTGTGTGTCTGTGTCTGTGTCTGTGTCTGTGTGTGTGTGCAGATACATGTCACTGTAGCAGAGAGGTTGCATACCATAGGCCACGAATCATATGTTAAGTATTTGAGCCCTTGCATAAAGCCTCCGACAACCTTACAGACCTCTGTAAAGGAACCATATTCGAGCTACCACGGCCCTGAATGGCCCTAAATTAATTTCAAGTTCGTTTAGCTGCCGACTCGTGCGAACTTATATATACAAATGATACAAAGGTCTGTAAAACAATAGCACTAGATTATACTAGTACTAATGATAACAAGATCTGGGTATAAGTGATATTGTCGCCATTTGTTTGTCCAACCGCTACATTAGATTCCACTTCCAGGCTTTGTATTCCACAGGTGACCAGCGGGCGCCCCGTCAACCACAAGCCGTACGATGGCAACCCTCTTCTTCAAAGTTTGGCCAGCCTTCGTTTAGAGGACCGTTGAGGCAAATTCTCAGAACTCCTGAGACCTATAATCTTTTCGGTAGCACTTCAGACGACCCCAACACAAAGCCATTCATCTGAAATCTTAAATGACAACTTGATCTATGCCCTTACACCCTACAAACCTGGAAACCACGAAGCCCGAAACCTTGATACTCCAATCCCAATGTGGGTAGTTCTCTAAATTAGGGTCCCTTTTAGGGTGCTTTTCATAATGGTGCCGTACTATACTGCGGAACCACAAAAAACCCTCCTTTAGAGAACCACCCATGAATAATCCCTACACGGCCCCTTAGCCTGAAAACACGAAACCTCGCCTCCCAAGTAAGGCGAAGAGCAACTCCAGCGTGTTCTTGCATGACCCCCCCGGGCGCAACTCCCTGCACGAAACAGCAGCTCAGCGGATAGATGTTGCGTGTTGCTTCCATTATTCTTCGAGCTTGTGGTTGGGAAATGCATGATGTGTCCAGGTGGGCACCTGTATACTTCGGGTTTGCGGTGCGTAGGCAACTAGCTCTAGATTGGTGTCTCGGGCATCAGCAGGTCCATCAACACGCCCATACTGTGCTCTTCAGGGCTGAGAGTTTGTGTTTGGGGCTTTGGGGTTGAGAACTTTGGGATCCATGTTTCGGTTAAGCAGACGTCTATCCCACCAACCAACCCTAAGCCCTAAACCCTAAACAACCCTAAACCCTAAACCCCAAAACCCGGTGCCGCCACGTATTTGCAAACCTTTGTTGAAACTCGAGCTCAATGCACGGGCTGAGGCAGGGGAGCTGAAAACCTGTGCCCTTAACCGAAGCTCACTCACTGTTTCTCTTTTAGCCAGCTCTCTGTTCTGGGTTGGCCTTTCAGCTATTGAAGCATTTCAAAGCCGCCACCTGATTTTGGCGATGGTCTAAAAAGCTGACAGTGTGTAAACTCGTCGTGTTTTTTTTTGTAGTTTTCGTGTGTTGGATTTATGCCGGGCTCTTCCACCGTGCGCTCCCCGTGAAAGTGATACCCCAAACCCAAACCCCTAACACCCCATGATCCTAAACCCTAAACCTAACCTTACTCGTCGCTCAGACCCTCCTTTGACATCTAAGCAGCCGAGGGAACGTCCTCGCCAGCACCAGAACGGCAAAAGTACACCATTTCACCGCTGTGGAAGAAGGCTGGGTTTCGGGATTAGGGGGGTTTAGGGACCATGTCACAGCGGTGGCATAATGCAAATGGATTGTTTTTTCTCCAGGGCCTTGCTTTTAATCTTGGTCTCATCAGTTTCTAGGGGTAGGGGTTTGGGGTTTCGGATTTAGGATAGCTCGGGCTACCCTACGGTTGCGCCGTGCTGTATAATGGCGGCATTGCAAAACAGTCAGGAATAGAAGTGCGAGCTCGTCAACAGACTGTCCCTCCATCCCGGGCTCATCTAAACCTCACATGCGTGTAAATCTTAGTCTTAGCCTAGCTCCCTAAGCCTCGCGCACTTCAGGAAAGCTTAGGGTCGGGATTCAAGCCGATGAAGGGTTTCTTTAATTCTGTTCTGAGGATTCACCTGGTTAGAGGTCTATCCGAATGCTAAGCTTCAAGATTTGAACCCGACGCCTTGAACCACGAAGTTGGGGGGCGAGGGGGGGCGTATGCTGCAGGCTAGAAGGCCTCACTTGCACCCCTCTGGAAGCTCTAGCAGCTGGACCCTACACCCCAAACCTTAAACCCCAAACCCATGTAACGACGGTGCTACAGAATTTAAGACGAGGTCAGTAGGCTCTCCTCGTGTCAGCTGCTTGTTGGGGCTTCGGGGTGTTGCTATACCCATAGGCCCCATAGTTGTTCCTTTTGGGGGTTCATAGAATCCGATAAGGTAACCCCAAAAAGGAACTACTATGGGGCCTATGAGTATTTACATGGAAGGCCGTGGCTGATAATGCTTGCATGTCACGTCGTCGGTGCATACAATGTAAGATGTGAAAGTTTGGGCGGGGGGTGCCGTAGAACACATATACCTCTCTAAATACGTATGTAGGCATGCAGGTATGTGTACTTGTATTTACGCATCAGATCGGTTGTGCCATCTGCAGCCAGCAGTTTTCCGCCCTCCGTCACCCGCCATTTTCGCTCATGACCCTTAGGCCTTCCGTTCTCATTGTATGCCGAAACCCTAAACCCAAGCCCACACGAACCCTAAACCCTATAGCTTCTGAGGCTCCTAAACCCGTGAGTCGAACCTTTTCACACTGCAGGGATCCATGCACAACGTGAAAGCCGAGTCGGTGGATATAGAAGATGCCGCATGGCCCCGAAGGTTTTTCGGTTCATGCTCCCGAGGTTTGGGGTTTTGGTTCGCGGTGGAGGTGCTTGAGGCTGTTATTGCAAAAGAAGTCGTAGGTCATAGCTTGCGCTTTGGCTTTAGAGTTTTGGGCGCAGGGGGCTAGTCCGGCGCGGTATGGAAGGCTCCGATCCAGTAGCCCGAAAACGTCTTCTAAGAGGCTTTGCCTTCATTGAGGAACCTCGAAGACACTGCACAAGCCATTCTACAATGTAGACCCTACAGGGAAGCAAGTGGAGAAATGCTGCTAGTTCTCGCTGCTTGCTCCCAGATCAATGCCAGGCCAGGCACTGCTGACAACTTTTACTGCAGTTATCTCAGAATCCACAAACCACGCAGCACGAAGTAGCCATAAAAGTTCCAGGAGCTACACCCAAACCCAGCCCAAACATCCTGACAGGGAAGAATCAGAGTTTAGGGTTTCGGCTTCCGCCTACCCCGAACCTCGAACACCGTGAATTCAACCCCCATGAGAGTTCAGCCCTTGAAGTCAAAAACCCATCAAGCCGTAAACCCTGGCTAAGTCTGGAACACTGGAAACCTCGTAAACCTTCTGACACCCCCCAGACTTTAGAACCTGGACCCCAAAAGAATATGAAATGATAGTATGTCATGGGTCTTGGGCCATTATTTTACTTAGATTTCGGCGTGCAGGTAAGCCCTCAACCACATGGGACTAAGCTTGCCTTGCTTGTGACTCTTCAACCTCAAATCAAGTCCGTAAAGGAACTCCTACATGAGCCGATAAACTCTACTTACCCTTTCTCTACATCTCCAAGGAGCGCCACCTCATGGACTTCAGACCCAAAAGCAGGTAAAATTCGTATAGGGTTCCCTAAAGGGTTTAGATTTAGGGTTTAGGGTTTAGGGTAAACCCTCAAACTTGAGCTCTCAAATCCCAAGACCTCTAAGGCATAAGCATGCACCAAAACCCTAAAGAAATCCAAAGTACACCTGACCTACAAACCCTGAGCACTAACACCCCCAACCCTAAAATGCTAAACCCTACCAGCCCTGAAACCCTACTCACTTAAGAAGAAGCGTCTCAGCAGAAGGATCCTGGTATCGCCTCGCCACAACTACGTGACTTGGATTTTGCGGAGGTTCAAAAGAGGGTCCCTTTTTGTTGGGGGGGGGTTCAGGGTTTAGGATTTAGGGTGTATAGGGTTTAGGGGTTCGGGGTTTAGACTATTAAGGTCCCTATTTTAGTGGTGCAGGGTTTAGGGCGTTGGGTTTTGGGGCCATTTGAAGTACTTCTAAGTATAGTTATCTAAAGGAAACCTTGGGCCTACTTTGGGTAATAGTTCAGGCCCCTGTAATCTTTAGAGGCTTGATGGTTTGAGGGAGCAGACCTTTAGCACTTTGGGTTTTGGGGTTGGGTTTTCGGGGCTAGGGGCTGTAGGGTTTTGGTGCTAAGGGCAATGGGGTTTGGTTCAGGGGATGAGGATGTCCACACGCTCCGGTTTAGGGTTTAGGGTTTAGGGTTTTAGGGTTTAGGGTTTAGTGTAAAGACCCAAACCTGACCCAGCCCTCAGGAATCAACGTGAAGAACGCGGCGACCGTGCTCAGGCAGGGCACACGGAGTCCCTAAACCCCAAACCCTAAACCATGCCATCCAGAGCCAGGTCATCGTAGGCAACCTTGCACTCGCAGCGCAGTGCTTGCTGGGGCCTGTGCAGCTACGATTAGCGACATCTCGCAGGCCCAAAGCTCCAACTACCCCTGTCTGATGCCTGATAGAGGGGCCTCAATAATTAGAATTGGGTTTTGGGGTATATATTATATTATACATTATAATAAGGAACCCCCCCAAAATTGTGTTGGTACTTAATTATTTACACTGAGGCTCCGAAATTACGCTTCATCACGGAAAGCTGAAGCACAGGCTACCAGGCATCGTACTAACTTTGTCCAGCCCGAGGCCCCTTCAAGATAATCTAGGGGCAGGAATCGCCAAAAATAGCATTCTTGGGGGCTCCTGGACATATTTATACTGGTAGAATGTAAACCAAAACCTCATTCTAATTGCTAAGGCCCGGAAATGAAGCAGTCCGATAGAATAAGCGTTCGCTTTCAAAGGATTTAGATGGCCTGACGCACGGAACGCGGACCCTGGTTGTTGAAGGTTCCACATCTCAGGGTTTCGAGACTGATCGACAGACCTCCGAGCGAGGGTTTTTGTGACAAGACGAGACATCTTGCCGTGCTGCTATGAAAACCCCCGCAGGTATTGACCCTAATCCGACAGCCTCATTCCTAGGCATATCTCCGATTCGTGCCGATCCTAGTCTGTACGGCTCATACACGAGGTTTCGACGGCTAGAGGCTTAGAAGGTCATACATATGTACATATTTGTTTACGTATCTACATAGTCCATTCCGCCATTGATGAAACGCTCCCTAGTCAAAGCCTTCCGGAAATCCACCTGAAACTATCCAGGATTTTCAACATCTAGCAATCTAGCAAGAAAAGAACAAGGAGCAAGAGCAAGAGTGGGAACAACAACAGGAGCAGGAGCAGGAGCAGGAGCAGAAGACAGAGCAGCCAGAGCAGAAGCAAGACCAGCAAGAGCAAGAGCAAGGTCCCCCAACCCTAAACCCTAAACCCTTAAACCCTACACCGTAAAACCTCAATAGTAGAGACAGAAAGAAGACCCTAAATATGACACCACACTTCGAGTGTCTATTCTGGGCAGGGGGGAGGGTTGGCCAACGTTTCTGTTTTGGGGGGATGGGATTAAACATAATCCATCTCACCGTGAAAGCACGAAATCCCAATGACATCCCGCATGCACAAGGTGTCCATCTTTATCTTTGCCACTGAGCCCCATTCTCAGATTTGCGATTTAGGACTGAGGGGGTTCAGATGCCTCCAGCTGGGTTTCAGGTTTCTAGTGCGAACGGGTTACTCTTCCAGAGTGTTTATGTTGCAGTTGGGTGTTTCCTCTGGTTGATAAGAGAGCGACATGGTTAGATCTCTACGTGACCGCCAAACGTGGTTTCTAGCCGCCAACTCGTCCTTTGTCAGGCTCAAAGTAGGAGCCTGCTGCACAGGGCAAGCCATGATCTTGAAGCCCTAAACAATAAACCCTACACCCCTAATCCCCGAAACCCTAAACCCTCCCCCCTCCTTAAGCCCTTTAGGGTTTAGGGTTTAGGGTTTAGGGTAAACTTCTGCGTCGTTCAGGTCTCCCTACCCGCTTCACCCTAAGCATTGAGGCGAACCCGGAGGTCTGCCTTTGTTGCTCTGTCAGCCAGTCGTCTGAACTCCCAACCGCATAGTATAGGGGCCCAAATCATTACCTATACTATTTTGGGGGTTCTTTAATAGAAATATATAATATAATATATATATATATATTATACCTCCCGAACCCTGTTTCAATTGTTAAGGCCCCTTCGTTGAGCCGAATCTGTGAAGACTAACAAAGCTTTCATGCAACGATGCGAATTGGTGCTCTGATAGTCAGCTAAACCTAAAGTAACCTATCTACCTTCAAAGCGGGGTATGACCCTAAGTAACTGGTACATGTACGTACCCTGATGGAGGTACCTTGGCTTCTCTGGGTAGGGGTCCTTTTCATTCAACATGCAGGCGTACAGAATGCGGGCTCTTTCCTAGACCCTCCATCTACCCTCTATTAGACCCTAAATACCCTTAATTTGGGACCATATACCCCTATTTGAGGGTACAACGAGGGTCCTGGTTTGTGGTGACGCCAATCTTTTAGAGCATGGTCTCTCTTTTGTCCTGTTGAGGCACTCCTCAAGCTGAGCACCGCCTGCTGCCCCGTTCTGTTTATCTAGGGATCGGACAGGACCGGAATATGTACTGCAGTAGTATTCCTGATCGTTTAGGGTGTAGGCCTTAGGGTTGCTTACTATATTAAGTTATGAATGCTATAACAAACCCGCAAAGCCTGGCTCCCGACATCAGGGTCCTCGCCCAGGAGTCCTGGGTAGGTCCGCGCTCTGCCGTCTAGTGCTTGCGGGGTGGTCAAAAATCTTCGGGGTGAGGGAGTTTGTTCGCCTTTCTCATCTCGAACTGACCCTAGACCCCAACCCATTCCGGCATTCTGCACTTTCAGGTCCGAACAGCGTGCCGAAGCTGACTTGGGACATGGCTGGCCTCATTCTGATTTGCCTGGGCCTCAGGTCAGCAAACTCTGAACTGCTGAGATAGAGGACAACCACAACCACAACAATATTACTAAGGAAGAAGATTGCAAAACACAAGAAGAATAAATAATACGAAGAGCTACTTAGAGATATCAGGGTTCCGTCAAGGGTGTGGGTTTTATAGAGTTGTGATAAGGAGCAATATCGTTTGCAGATGGAGTTCCTTCATGAGTATGCTAGAATGAGTTGAATTCCCAAACCCTATTCCTTTCTATTAAGGCCTCTGTATCGGGTTTCTGAGGTTTGCGTCGCGGGCTTTTGGATCTAGGGGTTTGGGGTTCTTGGGTTTAGGGCTCTTGGGCTTCTGGGGCTTAGGTCAAGATACGGTCTACCCTACTCCACGTCCCTTCGAACAAAACTGTGGAGTTCGCTAGCGCCCACTGCCATAGTATATCGTCTCTCAATGATATAAAGCCTCGAAAAGTCACCAACATTGTACTCCCTGTAGGATTCCTCTTTGTAACTGTATATACTAAAGTAGATCTGATTCAAACCCCCATTCTAAATCTAGATGCCGCTGCATTCTTATTACGCGTGTTATGAGCTACAAGATTTAACCCAAGAAATCCGAGCTAAACCCCAAAACCCCAAAACTTTAAACAACCCTAAACCCCCGACCCCTAAACCCTAGACTCCCTAAACCCTAAACCCTACATCCTACACCCTAGACCTTCCAAGGCCAGAGCTCCCAAAGCATCCATGTAGGGTTTTGGGTATAAAGGTTATAGGCTGTAAACCTTGTAGATCCTGCAGGCCAGAGTACCCAAGAAATCCTAGCGAAAACTTATAAGCTTCAAGACTTAACATGAGCCCCGCAATTCCTGAAACTCTAAGCAAAGCCCTAATAGTCCTAAGAAGCCATTGTAAGATCCTAAAAGCCTTCTCCTACACCCTCCAGCCTAATAAGCCCCAAGAAGTCTTAATTCGGGGCCCATTATAAGATCCTAAAAGCCTTATCCTAAACCCTACAGCCTAATAAGCCCCAAGAAGTCTTAATTCGGGGCCCATTATAAGATCCTAAAAGCCTTATCCTAAACCCTACAGCCCAATAAGCCCCAAGAAGTCTTAATTCTGGTCCCAGGCTGGGTACTTGGACCCTCAAGGACAGCTAAACCCCTAAACCCTAAATCCCTAAACCCTAAACCCCTAAACCCCTAAACCCCTAAACCCGAAACCCTATGGGCCCAGGCTGGGATGTATTCTACATCCCACTCAGTGTGCTAGATCTCACTCCGGCCCCTCAGCCTTATGTGCGTAGGAAGCCGTGGCTTTTTTCGTGGTTCTTGTCATGATTTAGGGTGTCCGTCAGGGGTAGGGTTGGGGTTGATTGTATCAAAAGGTTTAGGATCGGTTTAGGGTTTAGGGCTTTGGGATCGGTTTAGGGTTTAGGGCTTTGGGATCGGTTTAGGGTTTAGGGCTTTGGCATCGGTTTAGGATCGGTTTAGGGTTTAGGGCTTCGGGATCGGTTTAGGGTTTAGGGTTTAGGGCGGTGGGATCGGTTTAGGGTTTAGGGTTTAGGGCTTTGGGTTTACGGTTTAGGACCGGTTTTACGGGCTATGCTTCGTGGCTTTTGGAGGCTCAGGAAGACTTGGAAAAAGGATGCGTTCGGGCGACCGCTAAACCCAACAAGTTTCAACCACGGCGCAAAACCGTAAGGTCTAAGCCCTAAGACCTTCGGACCCTACAGCCCCAAAACTCTGAAATCTGAGAGCAAAACGGTAAGGCCGAGAAAGACATAGCAGTCCATTATAAAGCCCTGTTAACACTTGCAGCTCTCGATCCTGACCCGGTAGAAAAGATTGTGGGGTCCTTAGGGTTTAGGGTTCTGCTCTTGCTTCGTAACCCCAGTAAACCCTAAACTGTAGTGTTGAACGGTTTAGTTTCGGCTTCAACAATGTTGGGCTTCATGCTTTCTCTGATAGGATTACCCTAAACCCTAAACTAAACCCTAAACCCTAAACCCTAAACCCTAATCCTTCTTACTAGACCCGAAACCCTAGAAACCCTTTCAAGCTTATGTGGCGTGGTACTCCAAGTTCATCGGCTCACGCACCTCTTGCTTTACCACGGGTTCATTGAAGTCTGGATATAACAACGACCCTCAGGAATGATATTAGGGTTTAGGGTTGAGGGTTTAGGACTTTTAGGGTTTAGGGTGTATAGGGCTTAAGGTTTAGGGTTTGGGGCTTGGGGCTTGGGGTTCAGGGCTTAGGGCCTTAGGGTTTAGAGTTTTACTAATTACACAGGTTTGCATATTACGACCAGGTAGTTTCAGTACAGCCCTTCCAAGCGACATTGCCCCATGTGCCCGAAACCCTCTGTAAACCCACTGCCAGAGTCTCACAACACACAAAATCCTAAATTCACAATCCGGCGCCCTAAACTCACAAACCCTAAACCCTAAGCTCTTTAAACCCTAAACTTCCCAAACTCCCTAAACCCTAGACTCTTCAATGCTTCCTCTTCGCTTCGAAGTCACGGAGGTTACCCGGGGGTTTAGGGTTTATGGACTTGGGGTTTAGGGGTTATTTGGGGTTTAGGATTTAGGGCGGTTTAGGGTTACTGGGTTTAGGGGTTATTTGGGGTTTCGGGTTTCCCTACGCACAGAGGTATAGAGCCTTGAAGCCCACGAGAAACATGTGGTAACCCGGGTAACCCTAATAGAACCCTGATAGAACCCTGGTAGTTGGCCATAAACGCAAATCCCAACCCCAAACTCCTAAACCCGAAGCCCTGTCCAACTCTACAAGGTTCCTTTCACAATCTTCATGGACTACTTCACCCTGATCTTTTGGACCATGGACATGCTCATGTCGTCTGTGACCCTCGGATGCGCCTTGAAGTTCAGTGGGCTTGGTATGCAGGGTTGTAAGTACCTGAATTGGGGCTGTACGAAAATCTGGCTATAGTTGCCTTGCTTGAATGACACACGTCTACAATTCTTGCAGAACCCAGGGTTCTGAACCCTTGCAGAGCCCTTCTTCCCGAAACTCGGAGCCCCCAAGACTAAACCCTACAGGCGGAGGAAGGGCGTTAAACCCCTAAACCCGGAACCCTAAACCCGATAAACCCTAAACCCGATAAGCCCTAAACCCTGAACCCGAACCCTAAACCCTAACTAAGTAAGCCCTATAGACCTATCCTCGCATGCAGAGCGGGGGAAGGGCCTGAGTCGCAAAGGGTTTAGTGTTTAGGGTCTAGGGTTTCGGGTTTAGGGTTTAGGGGTTTGGGGGTTTAGGGTTTGGGCCTGGAGAGCATCTGACTTTGGCCGTGACCCCAAACCCCGTATGCCGAAAGTGTTGCGGATCACACTAGGGCTCCCTAAACCCGAAAGCCTTAAACCCTAAATTCTAAACGCACCTAAGGTCTCTACGTACGAAGTTGGGGACGCCATGTCATAAAGTCTGAAAGCGGTTTAGGGTTTAGGCTGCGGACACTGAGCCTAAACCCTGAACCCTAAACCCGAAAAGCCTAAACCTAAACCTAAACCCTTGAACCTGGGAGCCCGAGCCAGCGGCCAAACAGACCCCGAACCAAGCATCGATGTTTCAGGTGCTTGTCTCGCCTGAAGGACGACATGTACCCTAAACATGTTTAGGCACAGGGGCCCTGCTTTGAAGGGTCATTTGGTCCTGAAGGTGTTGACTGTCCTGAAGAAGTTGCGATGCTCCTTTATTTATCGTCCCTGCAGACGTTCCGACACCTAGGCCCTAAACCTCTAACCCCTAAACCCTGAACCCAAAACCCTAAACCTCTAGCCCCCAAAAAACCCTCACTCTTAGACCCTATAAGCCCTAAACCCTAAACCCTAAAGCTAACACCAGAAAAACCTTATAAACCCTAAAACCCCCCAAAACCCCTGGCCCGTCCGAGGAGCGGTTTCTATATCCGGGGCGACCTCGAGATGAGCATGCGCAAGATCTGGGCCCGGATCTTGGGGGTTCGCGCTGAGACTTAAGAAGGGCTGAGGGCTTAGGGTTTAGAGTTTAGGGTTTGGGATTTAGAGTTTAGGGTTTAGGGTTTAGGGCTTGGGGTTAAGAGTTTAGAGTTTGGGGTTTAGAGTTTAGAGTTTGGGGTTTAGAGTTTAGGGTTTAGGGTTCTGGGATTTACGAGGGGCTTGTTTAGGGATTTGAGGTGCTGCAAGGCTGCTACAATTTACGGGCTTTGGCGGATCTGGGGTGTGCTGGGATTTATTAGGGTCTTATCGGGTTGCCCGAAGGGGTTTGGAGTTTAGGGTTTCCATGTGCCCAAGGAGCATATACTTAGGCCTGATAGTGCCTACATAGGAACCATCTTAAGTTATATTTAAGGCCTGAGTATATACTAGTACATGGAGCCTTAGGGTTGGGGTTTCTAGGGTATGAGGCTGCTATACTTAGTCATTTCTGTGTGTTGCGCTTATAAGGTTTTGGGCTGGTCTGCCCACCGGTTTCAAGAAATGTAAACGAGGGTTTAGGGTTTGGGGTTCCATAACTATGAATAGATAAGTGAAAAATATATACATATATGTATCGCTTCGATGGCTTTCGGGTGTTTAGGGTTTTGGGTTCTTCTCCAAAGTTGGGTCAGCACTTGACCGCAGAATCGCCTGTGGCATGAGAGATACAGCCCCCTCGCCACATGACCCCGATGGGCCGGAGCGTTCCAACTCAACAGTGATCTCGGGTTAGAGTTTAGGATTTAGGACGGCGCCATGCCATGGAAGGCATTGAAGAAGAGCTTGTTTGTCGAAAGCTCAGTAGTAGAGTAGGTACATTCGTTCGGTCAAATTGGGGGGGAACTGGACTCCCTATATCTTCCCGAAGGTTTAGCTTGATTCCCTTAGCATACTGGACAAGTGAGAAAGTCTTATGAAACCTTAAACCCTAAACCTAAACCCTCAACAACAAACCCTAAACACCGAAACCCCAAACCCTAAACTCTGTAAATCTACTGAGGTGCATTATTTGACGACGTGGTTCCTGGTCGACCTAATCGTGGTGGTGCCTGTGGCTCGGCCGTCAATCTTTTAGAGCCCTTCCCTTCTTAGTAAGACAGTACACCCCAAAAAGTTGGACACAGGATTAAGGGCACTTAGTGCTGGGATTCCAACCCTAATCCCCAAACCCGAAAACAATATTACTATTAAGGATCGAGGCTATTGGGTTTCCAACTTTCGGGCTTCTACTGTATAGGATGCGGATGGGGTTTAGGGTTTGGGGTTTCGGGTCTACGCTTTAGGGGGTGTACCACTATTACGGATTGGGGTCCCCAAAAATTCCATACTGGTAGTGTAGATGGAGTCTCTGCGTTCTTAGCAATATAGGTGGCCTTAGTATCTAGACTAGGAGTCTTCTTGAAAGGAGTCTGTAAGGATCACTGCAGTTACTGTAAGGGCTTAGTATAGGGGCCTTCATAAGTGGAATATGTGGTTGGGTATACTATGCTATGGCTACTGTATGTTGGGGAACCGTTATGAAGGACTAGTGTCACTCATTCTGTCGGGCACTCCGTTCTTTCAGCAACTCGGCGTTCGCAAAGTCATCAACGAGGCATGTTTGAGGCTTGACGCCTATTCATATAAACCCTAAACCCCGAACTACCCTAAACCCTATAAACCCCTAAACCCTAAAACGGACCCCGAACCCTAGATCTTAGGCCCGAGCCCAACTCCCATGACGCAATGCCTAAACCCTAAACGCCTGAACCCCCAAACCCTAAACCCTAAAACCCTAAACTCTAAAACCCTTAACCCTAAGCCCTACGCCCTAAACGCCACCCACGAACCCCAGACCCCAAGCCCGAGAGCCCTCAAAGCGCTCCACGGGTTTGGGTTTAGGGTTTAGGGTTTAGGGTTTAGGGTTTCTCGATGCTCTTGGCCCAAATCTTATGGGTTTATGTGGCATTAAACTTAAGACTCTAGGGGCTGTCATTCATAACTTCACAAGTGTTTAGGCTGCGTTCGAATATAACTATGTAGGGGCTATAAGGGGATCTTATTGTACTAACTCTCGGACCTCAGTGGTATGGGTCGTATCCCAGATCAGGGTGGTAGTTGCAGTCGGAGTTTAGCACTTTTTAATAATCCCAGATTGGGGACTTGAGCATTGCAAAGCCCTAGACCTAGGTATAAGAACCCTGAAAACACTCTGAAGTCCCGAGAAAATTTCCAGCAGTATAAAGCCTTGATTGTTAAGGGGGTGTTTAAGAAACGGAGGAAGTGATTATTTGTGCGTGTGCTGCAGCCCGTCGTGTGAATTCTATATATATATATATATATATATATATTACGCTTGTCGTTCGTTGTTCTTCAAGGCAACGTGGGGCTGGTCTTGGCGCCGTTGCTTGTTGGGTCAGCCTCTGGGGCAAGCTTGAAGAAGGATTACCGGTTGATCGAAGACAAATTGAATGCGCACAACCTAGAGTGCCGTTTGGTACACCTGGGCGTGGATCTCAGCGGAATCCACGGTGCCACCGTCATTCGACGCATGGATTGTCGTGGAGGACTGCCACCTCCCGATCAAGGGCACGTCACAAGCCCGTGCAGGAGAAGGACGGGGAGAAGCCACCTGCGGCTACAGTGGTGAATCCGTTGCATGGTGAAGCCCTTTCGAAAGCCTCCCAGTACCCCTTTAAAGGGGCCCCAATTCCTCAGCAGGTACCCATTCAGCCAGGTATAAGTAGGGTTTGGAGTGCGGCTTAGGTGTTTGACGGCTCAGGTTTTAGCACGACGCTGTAGGTGGTAAAGGCTAGGCTCTAGCGTTTCCGTTTCCGGTGATACTTTGGGCAGGGTCCATTGTTTTGTGGATCTATAGGTGTAAACGGAAAGAAATGGCTAGGTGCTCCTGGCATGTCCGCAAGGTGTTTGTTACGGGAGGGGGGGGGGGGCTAGGCATGCAGTTGAGCTCTGAACGACAGGCCTTAAGTCCTCAATCTTCGAATGCCACTAGCCCAAACCCGAAACTCTGCAAACCCGCAGCCACCCCTGTTCTTTCGAAGTCCTGCGGTTCAAGCCTTATCACCTCCCAAATTTCTAAAGCGCTATGACAAAAACCTGAAACTCCAAGCCCCAAGGACTGGATCACGACGATTACGTCATCGGGTGAAGACATGGCCCAGACTTCCCCTCAGTGTCTAATCAGTAAGCAAAACATCCTCCACTACTCAGCAGGTAAGCATCTGTCGGTGTACGCAACTAAGGAGTACTCCATACACAGGAGGGATCTCTTGATATCAGCTAGGTTAAGGCGTATATGGCTCATGCAGGGATCTTTGCCTTAGGCTTCAGGTACAATTAGGGGCCTGGGGTCTTGTGCCTTGTGCCGAGGAAACGAGGTTGAATATAAAAGTCCATGTAAGGGCGGTTATAAGTACTTCTAAGTATGGTTACCGTAATTATAACCCCAATTACAAAGTCCCATGATGCTTTAAGGAGTGTGTATAGAAGCTGGCCCTTTGTTAGGGTTTACGGTTTAAGGTTTAGGGTTTAGGATTTAGGGTTCAAGGTTTAGGGTTCAGGGTTATGCAACTTGAAGGTCTATTCAATTCGGAGCAGTAGGGCCATAGGAACTCTTAATAGCACTAGACCCTAAATCATTGCATGGAATAAGACCATGTGTGCAGATGTTGTGAGCTGCAGTTTCAGGCGGTTACCGAAGCTCATCCATTCGCTGCGAGAGAGGTCCGGCGTCTGTGGAGAGATGTGATCGTCATGAAAAAGATGCCCCAAGGTTCCGTTTACTTACACAGTAGGCGGTAGCATTAGAAGTAGTTGAAATGGGCTATAAGTAGGGTAGCATAATTCGTACTTGTGCTACCACTTGCATGCGTACTACGTCCTCTGATCATTCAAGATACCCTCGACCCCCATGCGGAACGTCAAACTCCTCGCCACACTCTGCCCTAATGCTACATCCCCGCTGAACTCAGCCTGACCCTATCCCCCAAACCCAAGAGGCAACAAAAACATCAAAAAGCAACATTGGACGAACCCTGTCCTCTAAGACAAAGCCCCACCCTCGCCCGCCTC